GATATAATGTAAATAAAAAAGTAATATGTGTGCAATATAGAAATATATATATATATATATATATATATATATATATGCCTTATAATAACTATTTCTTATTAAAATATACCATCCACTTTATATCGTTCAAGTATTATAACACATTTTCATATTCCCAGTATTTTTTTAAAGAATTATTCAAACTCCAATTTTTTTTAGAAACTGTTATACATATCAGTTATACAGTATAACAGTTCATTGCTACATTGCTCCTAAAAGATGCTGTGCTTTTGCGTTGTATGTTTAGCTGTGAACTCTGAGTGAAAAACCGTTAGTTGTGTTCCGTGTTTTAAAGGATGCGGTTGATATTACGGCAAATTTTAATAAAATTCAATATAAAAACAAAATTTTCGTCTTTAAAACTTGATAACAATAAAATGATGAAAAACATATATGTATATGAAAACATATAAAAAAATACTTTGAAATTGTGACTTAATCTAAAACAAATGTAGTGTAATCATTTTAGGAACTTGTGATAAAAATGATAAAAAGTAATTTTGTTATTTTAATCTAATTACAATAAAGCACACAAACCATATTTACAGCTTTGAGTATACAAAAATCGGCACCAAAACTCTGAATAGAAGAGCAGTTGTGCGCGGGAGTATCTCATGGTGGCAATCAAAGAGAAGCTGTGAGTCGTACTGCTTCGCAAATATTTCTACATAAATCTCGAAAGGTGAAAGATTCTGATGCGTACTAGTTTACCTTCGTATGAGAAAATTCAGTTAAAAGACAAATGTTGAAGTGTGCAAAACAGTGAAAACGGTTAACGGAAAAGTACAGCTCATGACAGTGAGACACAACAAACTCTTATGAATTTTGGAAACTAATATTGTGTAAACATTTTTACGTATTAGTCCAATTCAATGTTAATCTGAAATAAATTAAATGTGAAATTAGAAAATTGGCTACAATTTCTGCTACTGTCAATAAACTAAAGAGGAAATAAAATAAAAATACTACGTTCTAACTATACATACGAGTATATAATATAATATGAAATAAAATGAATTGTTTTGGATTTGTTTTAAATTGTACGTGTGTTTACAACAAAACTGG